CGATGAATAAGGCTGCAGATGCCTTGTCACGAGTGGAGCTTGAGCCGCAGGTGGCAGCTGTGACCGGACCAGTGGTTCAGTTCTGGGACGAGGTTAGGAAGGCAGTAGAGACGAGCCCATACCTGAGGGAGAGGCGCGACGTTGCTTTGAGCGTGACACCGGGCGATTACTCGTTTCGACATGGACTGGTATACTTTAAGGGGCGGGTGGTTCTACCAGCGTCCACTTCTCTGACGGCGACGGTGATGAAGGAGTTCCATGACTCTCCGGTTGGTGGGCACTCTGGGCATGAGAGGACGCTGAGGAAGATTCGCAGTCAGTTCTGCTAGCCGCAGATGGGTCGCGAGGTTAAGGAGTATGTGGCCTCCTGCGATACCTTCCAGAGGGTCAAGGCTTCTTTGCTACGACCGGCAGGCTTACTACAGCCGTTACCGGTACCGGAGCGGGTCTGGGAGGACATTAGCATGGACTTCATAGTGGGGTTGCCGCCCTCGGGAGGGAAGACCGTTCTATTTGTGGTGGTTGACCGGCTCACGAAATATGCGCATTTCATGGCATTAGCACACCCGTATACGGCCAGGAGTGTAGCAGAGCAGTTCGTTTGGGGGGTGATTCGGCACCATGGGTTTCCCCGGTCGATCGTGAGTGATCGGGATGCACTTTTCTTGGGCAGGTTTTGGCAGGAGGTGTTCTCGATGGCGAAGAGAGAGCTGAAGATGAGTTCTGCGTATCACCCACAGACGGACGGACAGACGGAAGCCGTTAATAAGATACTTGAGCAGTATCTACGATGTTTTGCACACCAGCAGCCGCGTCGGTGGCTGGCTATGTTGCCCTGGGCTGAGCTGTGGTATAATACCACCTATCATCGGTCGATCCAGATGTCGCCATTTGAGGCCTTGTATGGGCGGACACCACCTATGCTAGTACGGTACCAGTCCGGAGCGAGTGCAGTGGACACAGTAGACCGGTGGTTGGCCGAACGAGACACAGCCCTGCAGCAACTGAAGGCCAACTTGGCCGCGTCCAACAATCGGATGAAGCAGCATGCCGATTTGGGACGCCGAGACGAGGAATTCGCGGTGGGGGACTGGGTGCTGCTCAGGTTACACCCATACAGGCAGACTTCGGTGTTCCACCGCACATACCAGAAGCTTGTAGCCGGCTATTTTGGTCCCTATCAGGTGCTCGAGCGGATTGGGGCAGTGGCCTATCGTCTGCAGCTGCCGGCGACGGCCCAGATTCACTCTACATTTCATGTGTCTCTCCTGCGCAGGTACCGGGGAGCTGACCAGCCGGCAACACCACCGGAGCCTCCAGTTGATGGGGAAGGGTGTCTTGAGCTCGAGCCAGAAGCGGTGCTCGATGTACGCTGGGTAAAGCAGGAAAGGAAGCACGTGACGGAGAGCCTCATACAGTGGAAGCACCTCGGACCGGAAGAGGCAACTTGGGAGGATACTGAGACCATTCGGCAGAACTACCCTACATTCGATCTTGAGGACAAGCTCGGTTCCGAAGGGGAAGGGAGTGTGAGCGGCACGGCTGAGGCCTAGGGGAGGGGTATTTTGGGTCATTGTTATTAATTGGGGAGATCCCTATTTAAACACTGGTTGTGCACTATTTTACGTATGAATAATAATATCATAACTATCAAATCCCTAATCTCTCTCTATTCCCAATTCCCAACCCTAAATTCCCAATTCTCAACCCTAATTCTCAGCCCTAATTCTAGTTCACAGCAGCTGTGTTCCTCACACAGACTTAATTACTAAATATCATAATATGTTGTGGTATTTTTACCCAAATATCATGTATGTCAAGGGATAGGGATAGTGGAATTTGTGATGTGGTATTTCCAAATCAACCCATATGCAGTTTGAAGAAAATTCACTTGCACAATCCCAAACAATCTTATCTTCAATTCTTGAAATATATAATTTAATTTTTTCTCAAAAATATTGATGTTGATTGTCTTTATTTATAAAATATTATTTGGATAAGTGAAGGAGAATGAAGGAGACTTCAGGTGTAAGAGATAAACATATCTTGGTAGTGTTTTATGCTATTGTAATGCAAGATATATATATATAATCCTTTTCTTTCCCTTCTCTCACTATATTTTTTTTTCTTCAAAATTGCGCTCTCTTCTCTCATAGTTGCTTTCGCTTTCTTCTTATAGGGGGTGGCCACCGACACCTTCTGGTGACCGGCGTCAACCCATTTTAGTGCTCTTTTTTCTTTTTCCCCGCAACTTGCATTTTCTTTGTGTTGTTTTCATTGGAAATTTTCAATCATTTTCTCTCCTTTCCAGCCGTTGTAGCCTTCCATCTCCATCTCCAGTTGAGCTTGTCTTCGTTTCATTTTTTAGGTTTACCATTTCAGGGCTTGCTCATCGAAGGCTCTGGAGTTTGCAGCTTGGGATCCCAATTTGATATGTGAGATGGTTGTTTTCTAAGTTCAGTGGGTTCAGCTTGGAAATCTCTAAATTCTTCAAATTAAAGTAAATCTTGATTTAGTTTTTTTTTTTCAAATTCATGTGTTTCTTGTTCATAACTTCATAAGCGACGATTGATACCGTGTTGACTTGAATCGCATGCTCGAAATGACGATTATGAGACGAGTACATTAAATGAAAAAAAAAGGTGCACAAAATACACCACCGTATATATAGATGTATCTATAAGATGCTCCGCATAACAACCAAATTAAAAACACAGGGGTTAGAGTTGTAGCTATATACAGAGGCTACAACCTTAGTTTGCCAGCTAAAAGAGTAAAAGAATCCATCCATGTACCCAATAAAAGAGAAGTCAACAAGAGACATAGGTATCAAGAAAACTGAAAAAGCAAGCCGTTCTGCGAGCTACAGCAGGGCTCGGGGGGCCTCGGCCCCCCCGAAAATCTTGAAAGTTACGTATAAAATACTCGGGCAATTTACGTATAAATAAAACGAAATGGTTAAATTGTTCTAGTATACATTAATTTGACAAAATAGACTCCTGGCGTAGCGGAAGGTGGGCTGTTTTGCTCTCCCTAGGTCCTTGGTTTGATTCTCATGCAAAGCAAGTATTTCTTTTAACTACTTCTATGTATATACAACAACAATTTCTTTTAAATACCTACCGATTTCTTTTAACTACTCCAAGGGATGCAATACTTTTAGGCTTTAGCAGCTTTAAGCATATGTATATACAACAACAATTTCTTTTAAATACTCGTGTAAGACCTATCTGTTAATTATGAAAACATATGTGCAATACAATATCGAAATGTATTGTTAATTATTTTTTTAATTTATATTGAACTCAATGCTTAAAAAGTTAGTTTACAAAGTGATTTTAATCGTTTCAATGAATAATTTGTAACGTTATAATAATATAAAATTATTATTTTAATTTTTTTAAGTTATTTTGCAATAACATACAAAAATATTTCCGGCCCCCGATCGTCGATTCCTGGCTCCGCCTCTGCTTCTGGCGACATGGAGAATGAGACGTCCCACGCAAACGCATGCACTCATGACATGATATATACTATGAGACCGCAGAGGCAAGATGCCAATGCAAACACAGGACAGCAGCACCAAACCAATCTCATTTTGACAAAATATTCCAGCGCTCACTGCCTAGTGTACGTACTACTTTCTGTAAACCTGTGACGAGCTAGGTCGGGTGAACAGAGATGTAGCCGACTATATATTTGGGCTGGCTCGTGACGTGACTCGTGAGCCCTGGTTCAAAAAGGCTACTGCCTAGCCAGCCCCTAGCTACGTTGCTAAGTATAAGATACTAAATATATAGTTGAGGGATCATCATCATTTTCTCTTCTCTACTTTGCTTTTGCATGGAACTCTACCTACCTAAGCTCAGCAGAGAAAAGAGGGAAGAGCCTCGCAATCATGATCTGTACGTATCAGTATTTGAAGACTGAATACATACACACATACATAAATGTGATATTATCAAGGTTGTCAAACCGCGGGTCGACCCGGACCCGGATGAGCTAGTGGGTCATGGGTTAATGGGTCACCCGTTTTAGCCCAGTTTAGCCCGGTTTAGCCCGGAAATATGGAAAATGTAATTATATTATACTTATCCTGAATCCAACATAAAAAAATGCAACACTACTTCAACTCCAACACACTTAAATAACATCAACTTAAATTCAACATAGTAAAAATTCAACAACACTTAAATCATTCACAAAACATCACATATATCTTTCGTTCCATTTATTGGAACCAAGTCCCAAACCCTTACCAAATGACTATGACTCAGGGAACTAAAGGTAATGGAGAGGCTCGGGTCGCAAATAATGGAAAAGAGCAACCCGCTGACCCGCTCCAACGGGCTAACCGGCCGGGTCAACCCGGGTTTGACCGGGTTTCTCCGGGTTTGACTATTTCCGGGCTGACTTGAAAATGGGTTGGTATGACCCGTTTTTTTGGCCGGGTCCGGGTTAATCCGGGTTGACAACCTTGGATATTATGTATAAGTGTATAAATTTTTTGATAATGATGTTGGCCCATTGGAAGGGAAGAGAGTTTGTTTGATTTTTATGTATTAAGTGTATAAAATTTTAAGGTAATATGTAGATATGATCACTTTATTTTGGGTTACATTTAATTCGGTAGCGTCTTCATTGTTTGGCCAAGATTACTAAACCGCTCAATGAATCATTCTACTTCATCATGGTTAAGGCACCTCCATAGATCATTCCACGGTTTGTACACCCAACTTACCCAAGTCGTTCATCAAGAGGCTAGGCGATCCGATTACATGTATGCAAAAGCTACCTTACATTCATTTGTTATCTAGTCAAAATTGAACTAAATGTTACCCCAAAATTCAAAGTCTCCATGTGAGTATGGGTATCTTCTACTAACTATACACCCAACCAAAAAAATTGAGATGAGATGAGATGACAAGACCTTTGTTTTAGAAGTCGGTGGAGTCCATAGAGCTATCGATTATTTGGGAATCACTGCTCGACATAGTTTCAGCCCTATATGGAAGCACCCACTTGTTAAATAAACTCTTATGATATGCCTTATGTTTAAGACTTGGAGTGTGATTGGTGTGTCAAAGCATGATTTCAATCACCTATTTCTTTTATCAAAAGCTAAATAAATGTAAATAAATCTACTCCTTGCTAGAAAAAATAATAGCCACAAAATGAACTTTTCTACACAAATTACATAAATGTGATATTACTAATGTATATGAAGCTCTCATAAATTTGTTACAAAAGAAATACGCTTCATATTTAAATGAGCATCTATCTCATTGGCAAAGTTGAGAGCATAAGACTTGAAGATGGGTAGGATTGTCATCTGGAAGAATGTATGTGCCACTTTTTCCAGTAGACAAGCAAGTAAGATTCAACTGTGGCCCAAACTGCGATGACTGCAATGAAATAGAAATGTATTTAAGTTTTTGCCATGACAATGAGTAACAATCAAGTTGGTAATACAGATATAATACCACCTAAAACCAATAAGTATATCTTTAGTCACCAATTTGAGCTCGTTGTACCAACTAGTATGGACTCCTCTCGTGTATGTGCGTGCGCGTGCACGAGTGATTCTCAATTAACTATTTATATTATCTAACAATATGATGCATTATGACAAACTATACAACAAACTAGATATCAACAAACTCTTCAAACATTGGAGGGGGAAAACTATACTATTACCTGACAATATACTTCTGGTGATTTGCAACTCCATAATGGGGTAGGCACACATGTCATGTACTGACACCAAGGACAATGTTCATTCACATTAACTCCTTTAAAAAGATCCAACAGTCCGATGGCAAATCTGCAAGGATGTAAATTCATAGCACATATCCCTTCAACATATTATTGGAACATGCTCCTCTCATTTTCAATCATAAACAATGTGATGCTAGATTCTTACCCAGTAATCAAAAGTGTCAAGGATATAGCAAGGAGCACATACTGATATGCCTTGTATTTAGATTTCGCAGGGGGTGCAATGTAACCTGGAGGACAAGTTTTTTGGCTAACCCATCCAAACTGCGGCCGAATTAAGAAAATGAAACCTAGAAGGAAGCCAGAGATGAAACCTCCAATATGCGCAAAATTGTCCACATGTGGGAGAAGCCCGACTGCTAAATTTAGTAAAACGATGATGACCAAGGTCGAAAATGCTGCAAGCTGCGTATACCCACATTTCACAATACTTTTACCTAACCAGAGTAAAACTTAACATTCTCAATAAGCAAACCCTAATTAGAGATCCAATATATTACCTTATTTGCATATATTGTCCAGTTTGTGATCAGCTCTGAAAGCATGGCACCAAGTAAACCAAAAAGGGCACCAGAAGCACCAACTGAAATACCCAACTCAAGGAAAAGAGCCGACATCAAACTTCCACCGAAACCAGATAGAACATAGACCAACCCTATTCGAACTGCAAAAGTACATAACAAGGGGTTATATCCTCATCTTAGGACTAATTTAAAAAAAAAAAAAAGACAAGTTTCATTTCATTATAGATGTAAATATTCCAATGTCAACCAAAAGTGAGTGGATAAATAAATGTATCTATAAGTAAGCTTATTGGAGGCACAATTTTTAAAATGTCGTTGTGGTATATTTGAATGAGCCATTTGGTTATCAATGACTTGTTTCTATAATAAAAAAATAAATAATTCATTTTGTTACATCAAATGATCGAGGCACAATCCTTTGAAAATGACTCGATTTTTATCTCACAATCCAACTATGCCACTAACTAGTTCTCCAAAATCCCAACATATATTTTAACTTTTTTTTCTCCTAAACATTCAAATGAAAATTATCCATATTAATTTATAAACCTGATGGTTGAAATTAAGTAAATTTACATATGCACTTAAAATTTCATGGTGAATGTTGAATACATCCTTCGAGCATTATCTATATATTTGTAGCCAATATTTAGCATTGCTTCAAATAGAAAATTGTATAGATTATACTAATTAAGGTATGGCCCAGAAAACTAAATAAAAACTAACTAGGAATAAATGAATTAATTAAGATATGATGTAAGTACACAAAACAAAATGAATTAAACTATTAAGTGTAAATGAGTATTAATATAAAAAGGGCAATTGATACAATCTATCTTTGAAAAACTCATGAACAAAAAAAATTAACAATATCTATATTTCTAAATGACTCATTTTTTAAATTCACCGTCAAAACAATCCTTGAAAACCGAGATAATGAATCTTTCAACCATATCATTAGAGGATGAACATTGTTTCGATCTTGAAATTAAACTAGAATAAGTTGCTTGAATGGCTTAAGGCATTAACATATGTGGGAAGAGAAAGATGCACATACAAGAAAACTAAACTTAAAAACTATCAGTAGATTCCTTTTAGATAATTTTTCAAAAACACTAGCACGCAACGGATCACACTATAAAAAATAAAATATTTATTCTTTGAAAGTTACAGACATACTAAACCCAAATTCTTTCTCAAGACGAATGCCAATGATTAAAAGACTGATCATATTAGCAAGCAAATGGAAAACCCCAGCATGCAACCAAATGCAAGAAATAAGACGCCATCCTTGATGTCCCTTCACCACCTTCTCCACTTCCATTGCACCCATTTTCAACAACCTGAAATTAAGAACAAAAAAAAAAAAAAGGTTGGAATTCTTTCTTTAACAATTTGTAAAATTTGATGAACTTGCAAAATCATTTGTCATAATAGAAAAATTCATGTTTATTCATAACTGAAGAAATTATCAAGAATTTGTTTGAATAACGACATAATAATCCGTCTAAACTCCAGAATCGAACATACCATTGATGTTTAGAAAGGAACATCAATGACATGTTAAAAAAATAGAACGTTAAACCCTACAAGCACTTTGGCTATCCATAATCTTCTGTGATCTTCTTTAAGGAAAAAAATAAAAGAAATAGAAGGGACTAACGTACGTATCGGAGGAGGGCCCAAGAAGAGGATTTTCTTTCAATGGCTGGAAAGCGAATCTCCCAAGAAATCCAGCAACGCAGTTTGTGGACCTCTTTGGACAATTGTTCACATACATAACGATAATGAAAAGAACAACATTAGCCACCACGAACAGTGGAACCAACCAGGGGAACCACGGTTTGAAGGGCTTAAAGTCGCCACCGCTGGTTTCGTGTCTTTGGTGTTGATTCCGACGACGTTGTTGCTGCTCCAAAGTTGATATTGTCGGGTCTTCAACTAGAGATGGGCGTGAATGATGAACCTTGATTTCGAAAGCATTGTTGTTTGCATATTCTCTCCCCATTACATCCAAAAAAATGGGTTATGGGGGAGAAGATTCACTCTTGTTATGAAAATCGCTTTTTTTTTTTTTGTCAATTACTCATAGGCTTGACATAGGAGGAGGGATTATAAATTTAGAGACCAAGGTTGAAATGAAGATGGTATTGGTTTATCTTCTTGTTATTTTCAAACGAATTCCTCGTTTGGATTACAAAGATATACGTCTGTTCTTCACTTTCTTTTTCTCGTATTTCTTTTATTGTTTTAAGGTTGTTGCTCTTTCGAGCAACAAAAATGGCAGATTTGGCCTTGTTAAATCTTGTTGAAAGAGGATTTTTGAAATGATAGTATGAAGCCAACTACGAGAAAAAACTCTTTCCCCAACCGGTTCTCTTTGTTATTGTCACATTGAGGGGATAGATGGACTTGTATCTCTCTAACTTCTTTTTTATCTTTTTTCTTCTCTACTTACGGAGTTTGTTTCTAACATTTTTATTTTTTTGTTATTGCCTTCTTCTCCAAAGTTAAAGAACACATTGCTAAAGTCTAGTTTTTAATATAAATTAATTTATTCATATCTATATAACTTTAGAAATGTCATATCGAATCCTTTAGGACATTCATAATTTTTCGAATCCTTTCGCATGCAACTACACTTTTACTTAGTGAATGTAATGTGACAGAGCAGGGCGGTACCTCCATACCCATTCGGCACCAAACGCATGTCGGGTCGGTAATACACATAGAGTATGAGTTGGTGCAGGTCAACTCATTCTTATATATTATTTGAAGAAAAATTATATTTTCTTATGATAAATTAGTTTATGAATGAAAAATTGATATAATATGTAGATTAATTGAGTTTAATTAGTTGAAAGATGAAGTATTGTACGTATCAAAAGTATCATTAGGTGAGATATAAGTTAAGATAAGTTAAAATAGAAAAACCAAAAATAGATATTGAGGCAAATTGTTGTATAAAGGGTCAAGAACGAGGGGGCAAGTTTGAAGTAATACACATGTCCCACTTCATGCTACTAGGGGATATTGTCCACCATAACATAGTTCAGGTTGGGTAATACCAAGTAGGACGAAATTAAATTGTGAACACTACTTTTAATTGTGTCCAAATCCTCCAAGAATTGTTTATAACACCATTTACAAATCTCGCTAGCTAATCTATATTGAAATAAACGAATAACACACGCAATTTACGTGGTATCCTCGTTCGCGAGAATGAGACTAATCCATGGAACACTCACAAAGGAGTCTTCGGCTGATACTTTTATGAGTGTTTTCTCTAACCACACTTACACACCAAGCTGCTCGGCTGCTAACATATATATACCACACGCAATTCATTTTCCACACACAGCTAGAAATTGCAAAGTACTAAAATTTCCCAAAACAAATATAAGAGAACAAAGAAGGACAAGTCGTAGAAACAACAAGCCCCATACGTACGCCCCATGTCCCGTACGTACTCTCACAACACGCCCCCTCAAGCTGGAGCGTGAATGTCATGAAGGCCCAGCTTGGAGGTTAGAAATGCAAACTGATAAGCACCTAACTCTTTAGTAAACATCTCAGCAACTTGCTCTTGAGAGGAAATCTTCTGCGGAGCGATTTCACCAAATGTAACACGTTCACGAACGAAGTAGCAATCCATCTCGACATACTTCGTTCGTTCATGAAATACCGGTTTGGCAACAATATGCAAAGCCATCTGATTATCACAATGCAACGAAGTAAAAGACCATTGCTCCTCGGTGATTGGGATGCGATCGAGGTGAAGAGTTAGGGATCAGTTGTTTTGTCTACGCTGTATTGACAGCTATGTGGATGCTCAATGATGGGTACAAAGTAAGACAATGGTGTTATGTTCCTCCTCCAACTATGGGCATGAGAGCATCTTCCGATGTTCGCACCGCGTTGCCCAGCAGACAATTAAGCACCCAACGAACCACTATAAATGACCCTTATGGTGCTAGGTAAGTGTTTTGACCTTCGATTAAAAACACGGTCGAACCTCTCCCCGACATATGCAAAATTGGACGAAGAGGCTCTTAGGGTATGTTATATATTTTATATTTTTGTGTATATCAACGTGAATCATGGAGAAACACTATAATAAGACCAATGTCTTAGTAGAATAACCATGATTAAAGGTTGTTTTGGTATTTTCACGATTTGTGTACACATTTAATAATATTATTTTTCTTGTATTTAAATGATAGATGGCGGCAAATATTTACGATTCTAGATTCTATATCCAACCTGGCCTAAGGGATGCACAATATTTAACTGAGCAAGCAAATCATTATTCCCATGCGATTTGGAACAACAACCCGGCAGGCTTGCCCTACCTTCAAGATAATGTTTTTAGTTATTTTAAAACGTTTCTATCAAAATTACTTTATGAATTTTTCGTAGCACTCACTTGTTCTCGTCGTCCATAGAGGGACCGGGTGCTTGCCCCCGTTTCACGCCCGACTCGTGCCCTATCTGGAAAGGGCGAGATACTTCGTGAAGATGAAGATTGACAACGAGCTACTCAAAGCTATGTCATACAGGTGACGTCCCGATACACATACCTTCTACTTTTTTTAGGGTGAAATGATGATCACACTACGAGATGTCGCCATCCTCACTAGGTTTTCGATCACCGGAGATGAAATCATCGACAACTCGACTATTCCCAAAGCATGTTGGGGGCCACTTATCCTTAAGAGTTTGGGCTTCGCCATGCCGACGACAATAGAGGAACAACGTAAATCACCGTTGAACGTGGGTTAAGTATCAATCTGCTGAATCGTTGATCCGATAACGGGGGAGGTTGAGTTGGATGCATTCACCACATAAGATCAAGTGTAGCGGTATGTGACTCACTCCAACTACCACAATAAAATCTCTACTAGAGCCCAAGTATAAACTCTAGTAGGGTGCAGAATAGGGAAAGCGTTTTAAAATATCAACTCGGGCCGGTCCATGTACTCGTACTTCAACCGTTTAAAACGTTATCCAGCAATTGATTTTTAATGAAAATTAAGGACTACAATTTAAAACAAGCAAGAAGGTAAATGATTTTAGAATCTATATGAGAAAGATTCACCCGCGTATTGCTCTCCCTCTCTATATATCAAGTTTGACCGAATAGAATGCAAATATGTAAGAATGTGTTCATACACCGTAAGGAGGGTGCAAATAGTGAAGAAACTTCACTCTCTTGGGTGGTAGGACAAGGAACAATGAATGAAGCTAGCGAACTAGCTCTCTTGGCCGCTCAACCATGGGTTGCTAAGGCTTCTCCCTCGAAACTTAATGTGGACGGCAAAATAACAACCAAATCAAAGTGTTAAATCAAAACTTGAGGTTTGCCCTAAATTTCCCTAGGTGGGTGGCTCAAATGGCCAAGAAATCCAGCTCTCAAAGCCTCTAGCAAACTAGGGCGTTTCTCTCCACCTAGGTCAATTTGGAATATAATGAGAAATGAAGAACACAACTCAAGAATTCTGAAAATACCTCTAACTTTGCATTAAACACAAACCCACACGCATAACATTCAATCCATACAATCTATCACATATCTAAAGCTAGGGTTTACAATACCCAAGTTAAAAAGAGTACTACTCCATAGCTAAACTAGGGATTACAACAAAGAGAAGAGGAAGAACCATGGTGTGGTGTATGACTTCCTTGTTGTAGAAAACACCCTTGGAAGATGAAAATATCCAATCCTCAATCTTGGAGCAAACCCTATATCTCTTCCTCTCTCTTGGTTCGTCACTTTCTCTCTCTAAAATCTGAAGAAGAAGAAGAAGAAGAAGAAGAAGAAGAAGAAGAAGAAGAAGACAATCTCTCCCTAGGATCCCTTCTTCAAGTTTCAGCTCCATCCTCCTCTTATACCCAGGTCGAGTGCTCACCATGGTCGAATATCACAATCATAATTTTTAAGCTCAAACCGTAATCTCGGGCAAAAGTGCACTGTTTTATTTAAGGTCTGCATGGTCTTGGCTAGATTATCACGGTCTGGTGACCCATATATCGTTAAGGCCCACGAGGCATAAAAACTCTTCTGGTTTCCTCGAACATCACGGTCTAGTCTCCATCTTCACATTCGACTGACCGTGATAATGTTGCTTGAACCGTGAACTTCCCCTTTTTGCTCCTTTCGATCCTCTTTCGCCCTCTTTCGTTCACCTTTCGCTCCGAAAGCTAATATCACCTGCTAGAGCCTGAAACATGATGGAAACATGCACAACCTAGCGTAAAATCGAATATCAAGTGATGTAAATGCCTCAAACACCACAAGAACACGAGGTGAAAACATATGCAATTAGACTCGAATCAGTATGCCCGCGTTTATCTCATTGCCTTAGTGGGTGGAGTACTATTGTATTTGATAGGGGTGGGTAACGGGACGGGACGGGTATCCCGTCCCGTTTTAAACGGGTACCCAGTCCCATTTGGAGGTCAAAGTCCTTCCCATATCCCAAACCCATATGGGAAACGGGTACCCATTACCCATACGAGACGGATAACGGGTACCCGCGGGTACCCATAAATGAAGATGAATTACAAGCACATTGAACCTAGCAGAAGGTTACCATTGAACATAGCAGGCATGTGAACATCGTTAGCAGGATTCCACATTGTTGTATCGATTCCATTCAGTATACCGAAGCACCTGCATTAAAAGATATGGATAACAAATTACATCAACCTAACAAACCATGTTAAGAATCAGATGAGAATGACAAAAGTAGATTCGGATGACAGGCAAATTCCCTATAGCGAGACAATGGAAAAGTAGTTCGCTGTTCATGCATCAGAGATCATGCAGATCATATGCATCTTATTAGATAAGAAAGTTTGAAGAGCTACCCAAATGTGATTACACATACAGAATCTAAACAGCAAAATCTAGAGATCCTTGAGCATAAAATGTTTCTGTATGGTACAGTAGTCCGAAGAGCTACCTGAGTTCAAGGCTCCAAGTTTTGATTTGTTCTCTGTGTGGAAGAGTAGTAATGATCAAACTCAAGCTACCTTGAGACTAGCAGGAGCCTCCTCTGCAATTATGGTTAAAATGGGCTTGGGTTATGAGCGGGTAGTACGGGTACCCATAATACCCAAATGGGTATTAACGGGTAACCCGCGGGTACCCATTATAAAACTTCTTCATCACAAATCCCATCCCATAAGAAAAATTACGGGTATTTGGGTACCCGTAATCCTCAAAAAACGGGACGGGTATGGGTATACCCAAATACCCGTTCCCCGTTACCCACCCCTAGTATTTGAACAAGGCGAATATGTGGATAAATGGCATGTGGCTCGCATTGCTTATCAGTGATTGGGATGCGGTCGGAGCAAAGAGTTGGGGATCAACTGTTTTGGCTATGTTGTATCGAGAGCTATGTGGATGCTCAAGGCTGGGTACAAAGGAAGCCGCTGGTGCTATGTTCACCCTCCAACTATGGGCATGGGAGCATTTTTTATGTTCGCACCGTGTTACCCAAGAGATAATTTGGCGCCCAACGAACCACTACGAGATGACCCTAATGGTGCTAAATAAGTATTTTTACCTCCGACCTTGCAAATATGTTTATTGCATTTCTGTTCCGTTGTGATTCTTGACATTATTCCTGCCATATTTGTGAAAGTCGTGTATAATTGGCTTTGCAAATATGTATAATCTCGACGTGCTAGTCGGAAATGATCGTGATGCCCTTTCGCTGTGTGAAGTAGTCATGTTTCTCTTCGAAAAATTAAGCCCAACTTAAACTATCCCCCCCTCGAATAGAGCAAATGCCAGTGAAAAAATCTGCATATTTCCATCAACACTAGTGGTAATAAGAAGGCTGCCATTGTACTTTCCAGAAAGGAAGGTGCCATATACTTAGATCACTGGAAGGAAGAAATCAAACCCATCAATGCATGGCCTGAATGATCAAAATATCAATGAAGCATCGACTCATTTTGGACCCGAACTTGGTCCTCGGTTTTTATATTATTGAACCACGACACGAAAATAGTGTCGGGGTTAGACTCCTCCATCGCAGCCATAAATCTAGGAAAGGAGAGCGTATGAGTCGTCCCAATCAATATACATGTCACCATGTCCTTTTGATTTCCTTGTCACGCCATACATGTCACCCATGTCCCAAACCCCAACCCCATTGTATGTATCATCTTCCTCACTCACATATCCCAAATCTTCTTCACTATCCTCTTCGCTTTTGAAAGGATAACTCGACATCTCGTCAGTGGGATGCTCGCGACCATCACCGCCAACATCATCATCTCGACTTTGTGCATATCGCCTAGATGCCGGAATGGTATTTTCAATGTTAGGCCATACTTGACTCCAAGTCGGCCAGTGAACGCCATCTGACTCAACAAATGTGGCGGGCTCAATAGAATTAACACGATGTGGAGCAGCATCGCCCCATGGTACACCTCCCACATCGCCGCTTGCATAACTACCTCCTTCATAGTTGCTTGAATAACCACCACATTCGCGCCATCATGCAAAATATGTGCTTTTAGGACTTTTATAAAAACTATTGTATTTTAGATTTTTTTATTATAAACTAGTACATTTGTGGGGGAAAATCTCACTGTAATAACGAGGGTGATAAGAGGATTCACCACCATCATATTCGTAAATGGCTCAACCATGACCGACATCCTCGGTCTCAACATACACCTATGCAAACCAGATCGTGTTTTCAGCTAGGAAGTCCACCATCATGTTAATCCCACCATCGTCGGATATAACAACTCCTTCGTACGTGACACCGCCTCCACTGGTGTTTGGATATCGTCAAGTAATTTTACAAACTCTTGTCTTCCCTACAATACAAACCCTGTTTGCACAATGTCATATAGTTCTTGTCATGTGAATCTGGTCTCAATCTTCAACTTATTGGATTCCTCATCTTCATAAACGATTCCATTTTGAGAGTTTGTCACCCAACCATTCCACCAAATAAGAAACTAGAACTTTCGAAATCTACTCATGTCTGCAATTTAAAATAAATAATGATCACATACAACATGCAAAACCATAAGCCATATACATTCAGCTTTACTCTGGATATTTAGCATGATTAACACGATGCGTCATTAGTGAAGCAAAAACACACAACTAGTTAAATATTATCATACTAAACAAATTCATACATAACTTGTAGTCAAGATAAGGGAATGGATTTCTGGTGTGGTCGTGAAAATTTTCTGCAAGTGCGATGGAGAAGAAGAGAGTTTCTGCTACAAAGGTAGAGAAGAGAGGGGGGGGGGGGGGAGGGGGAAATGAGAGTGAGTTAGGATTATAGGGTAGTATTTTTATATTGAATTTAGATGAAGACAATATCGCCTTAGACTCAAGCGATCAATGCAAGATCGCTTCCGACGTAGACTATCAAGTCTAGGTAGTTGCATCAAACCCTAAACTCGTGCCAAATATTGATCGATTTAGACAAAAACAATTTAGTATGGTCGCTTGTGACAGAAGTTGTCAATTGAAAATCGTTGCACCAACCCTAATCTCGTGGAAAAAAAAACATGCACCAACCCTAATCTCGTGTTCAAATGAAATCTCGATTGAGAACAATGATTTACTATTGATCGATTTACTTAAAAGCAATTTCATTGGTCACTTTTGACGACAACGATTATATAGCGATTAATACCATGATTGCTTCTTGGTGAAGCGATTAATGGTTCATTGCTTTTCTATAAAGAGATTAGCCTTAAATTGCTGTCCTCTCAAGCGATCAACATGTACATCGCTTTTGTTATCAACGATATGGTGAAAACATGTGTAGATTAAGAATATTTATAAAAAGCAGGTGAAAAATCCGAAACCGAGGTAAAGGTAAATTGTTATAGGTTACTAACGCCTATCCAGTCCTTTGACCCAACGTTTTTCTCGACCCATCATTCGACACACAGCCACAGGATCAACTCACTTTATGTGTGACCGCCTATGCCCGGTGCCTTCTCCGGCACTTACCGATATGTTCGGTATCAGAGGGTCAAATGTCAATGGTATAAGAATAAGAGCCAAAAAGGTTTAAGCAAAAACGGGTTTGGGTAGTTGGGTTTTTGGAGGGTTTTGGCTTGCAATCCGAGGGAGACTGCGGGAGAGCGAGAGGTGTTTTGTGTTCTTTTTTAATTGTTTTCCTGGAGAGAGAGCAGAAAATGTTGGAGATATAGGTAGCGTTTCAAACAACGATTCCGCAGTGAGGAGAAATAGAGAGAGAGAGAATTATGGGTTAGAAAATGAGAGAAGTTCACTGTTGCGAGGGGGATAAAGATTAGAGATAGAGGAAGTGTGTCGTGAGGTGCGCCTGTGTGTGTTGCAGAAATAGGGGGAATTCTTCTGTTTTCTTTTTCTTTTCTCTTTCTTTCTTTGTATAACTGTATCACGCAAACAAAAGCTTCTGAATTTCGATCTGGGCTTGCATTACGGTGAAGAATTCTCTCTGGGTTGCTAGCTAGCAGGTGAGATTTGTGATGCTCGTCGGTATCTTTGTTTCTTTGTCTCTCTGGTTTTTGTGTTTGGTCTGGGTTTTTGTGTTTTCTTTCACCTTCATTTTTGTGGGCGAGATGACGTTTTCGGTGGTGGTAGCTCGTTTTCAGTGATAATCTTACGGGGAATCCTACTTTTGTTTTTCAGTTCACTTGCCAAGTTTCTACCAAGGTTTCTATCTTCTGCTCCAAAACCCTTCCATTTTATATATCTGGGTCCCTAAGGTTTATCCTTAGTGAGATGTTTTCAGATCCTTCATCTAAATTTTGCAGATTTATTCAGAAATCAAAACTTCCTACGTCGATCTTTGCTTCAGGGTTTTACTCTGGTTTTAGTTTTATTTTTTTGGGTTCCTTTTTGTCGATCTCCTTATTCTTCTGTTTTGTCGGATTTCTCAAACTTTCTGACATTAAAGTACCAGTTGTAACTTTTCTGCATGAAAGTCATGTAGGATTTCGTCGAATCTAGTGATCTATCGACACTAGAGACTTGGAATCCATAAGCCCTCCTGAATTCTGGTTCGGGTATGTTGTGGTTTACATGTGCGGATGATTTTGTTAAGTGGGGATTCTGCGTATGACACAGAATGTGGCCGATACATTTGTGATCTGAGGCCGTGATTCTGATGGAAGTGCTGCAAATGTCTAGTCAATGGTGTCAAATAACTACCTGAAGCTTTGCTCATTTTCACCCTGAAAGGACGTGAGAATAATGAATTTATGGAATATTATGGTTTTCTAGTACTGCCCAGAAGGTTATTTTCGATTCTTCTGAGTAGTTTGAGTGTCTTGTGGTTATCATGTCGCTTAGGGCGATTTAATGTCCTGTCTTTCTGGGCTCCGTTTGATGGAGAAGAACCCCCTGTTTCTGTTTTGCTGAACCTTTCTAAATTCATTTCTGCAGCTGTACGAACATTGGCTTATATCAGCGTTTGATGATCTATATTTGTTTGTTTTTCAGGTTCTTGTTGTTGGCTTTCTGTGAGCTTTTTGATTGGTGGCTCTGCTGCACAAGTTTGATAACAATTGGATCTTGAAATGCATCTTTCTTGGCGCTTTCACTGAGATATGGTGTTGAAGAGGAGGTTAGACTATGGATTCAATGGCTACGAGTTTCCTCCTATACCCAGAGCTGCCAGATCAGCAAGGGTAATATTATTTGTTGGTACCCTGTGCTACTACTGATACTTCACTTTATTTCAGTTTCCCCCCTCTTGTCTGATATTATACTATCTATCTTGTTCAGAGGAGGGTTCCCTTCAAGAAGCGGTATCAAGAGAATCAGATGTGTGCGTTTGACTTGTTGGCTGTGATAGCGGGAAATTTGTTGCTCGAGAAAGATACTGCTCCCGTATCCAGTAACGCAGTGCCTAATGATGAATCTGCCGTAAACAAGGTACATGAAATTGAGGAAAAAACTTCGGAAGTAAAAGTTCAAGATCAAGAAAGTCCTGCCAGAAGTGTCTTTATATCTGGGATTCTCCATAACATTCCTGAGGAAGATCATTGTCATAAAGAACCATTGTACAACGACAATAATCATTATGTAGGCTTAGCCTCTCGAACAGCAACCTCTGGTGGCAAGGAAAAGTTCGATGGGGATAAGGTAGTGAATGGAGAAGATAAGAGTGCCATGGGAACTTTTTCTTCTCGCAAGATGGCAGTAGGCTTCTCAGGAAACTTTGATGATTCTATTGAAACTAAAGTAGATGGGAAAGTTGAAGATAATCTAAAAGATGAGCTGTTTAAGTCTGACAAGCTGGAAAATGGAACGTGTGGTGGTATGTTCAGCTCAGACAATACATTATGTGCACACCATATTCCTCATTGTTCTAGTCCTGCAAATGGGGATAATGTAAATATAGTTAGTAGTAGAGATGATGACGAAAACTCTTCTGGGTGTACTCACCCTAGCACCATGAAAAGGTTTTTTAGACGGACTCCTCGCATTGGAGACCGAAGAATCAAGAAAATCTTTGCTTCAAGATGTTGGAAGGTAGCCTCAAGATTGAAAGATACAAGCTTTTCGAACAGACGTAAGAGCGCTAGTTCTTTTTCATGTTTTCTGGTTTCAAGTTAGCGCATGCAGGTTGCTAGTGATACTGATGAATAGGTATCTTCTGTGTCTAGAAGGGGATTTGAAGCCCTTTTATCATACTGGGAAGAACTACTATAAACTTGACAGATCTGAAAGGCTGTATCCTATCAAAAAGAGGAAACGCTTCAGCTATAGCTCACCGTCGAGTTCTTGTGGGATGATTGATACTGATTTAGCTCAGATGGGCTGCAATGGAGATGGTTCTGGTATGCTTCAAATACTCAGTTGAGTTTCTTTTATTTATTTTTTTTATTTTCTTAAAACTTTTATGTTTTGAGTATTCTAGGAGTCAAATGATGGAAGTGAATATCTCGCTTGATGTCAGTCATAATCCACTTGGCAAATCTTACTTTATTTCTATGCAGCCAATGGGTCTATAGCGTCATCCTCAAGTGGTGGGGAACAGTTTACATTCCAACCTAGGGATTCTCGGGGTATGGGACACCTTTGATGGAGATATTTAATTAATTTCTTTTTGACTTGTTTGGTGTCTGCTCGCGAAAGATTGCTCATATGAAGTTTTCCTTCCCTTTGCTCAGTTAAGCTTCGGATAAAGTCATTCAGGGTGCCTGAGCTTTTCATTGAGATCCCAGAGACTGCTACCATTGGTTCCTTGAAGGTACATTTCCGTGAACTTGCCGTAAGACAAGCTGATAATTATCTTTTCAACATGAGTGTGAGGAAATTATGTTTGAAATCCTATTATCATTATGCATTTACGTTACCATCGGCATCGATCGAACGCCTGTTCATAAACTGTTGCACTTTCTGTAGAGGACTGTGGTGGATGCTTTCACAGCAATACTTGGAGGCGGAGTGCGCGTTGGTGTTCTTCTTCAGGGAAGGAAGCTTAGGGATGACCATAAGACGTTATTGCAGACTGGAATCTCTAACAGTAACCACTCTGATGCTCTAGGTTTTAGTCTTGAGCCTAATCCCCTGCATAGCAATGGTTCTGCGTGCTCAGGAGATTTCACTTCTACGGTTTCCCGCCAGACACCACACCCTCTTAGCAGGTAATGGGAACTACACCTGGCGAGGAACTGTTATTTCCTTGGGTATTGCTTAATTTCACAATCACTTACGTTCGGCTAACTTCTCAGATTTGAGGAAATGTAGAAGGATTGAAGTTGATCGTCTTGCTAATTAGCTCATGTTATTCCCCCCCTCCCTGGGTTTTCCAATTTAGTAACATAGTAGCTCATTGTTGTTATGATGCTTTTCATACCAGGTATTGGCACACTCCAAGTGCAGTGCATCAGGGTACTAGTGCTGCTTCTCCTGAGCCGCAAACGGTCAATGTGGGGAATTTGGTTGAAAGTGACCACGACTCGGCTCCTTCCCCTACAGACCACTTAATTGATCAAAGCACTAACGACCCAAAAGCACAGGTGGCAGCACCAGCTCTGAATGGAACAGCAGGTGCACTAAGTGTGATTTCAGCCAACCGGAAATCCAAGCAAGCTGAGATGGCTCAGCGCCGAATTCGTCGACCTTTCTCTGTAACTGAAGTTGAAGCATTGGTACAAGCAGTTGAACAAATTGGAACTGGGAGGTATTGAAACTGTTCAGCGAATTCCCTCTTTGAGTTGAGCAAAACATGGGTCGGTGGTAAATGGATTCATAAGTTTTCTGGTGTTCATGTTCTGCAGATGGCGTGATGTCAAAGTGAGAGCTTTTGATCATGCAAAGCACCGAACTTACGTGGATTTGAAGGCAAGTTTTGTCATGCTATTTGGTATATGTTTATCTCTTTTCTTTCGATATGTTGGCCTATTATTATATGAAAATAATATATGTTGGCTATTGGTTTATGTTGGATGGATGAACGTGGTTTCAGTTGTAATAAAATCTTCAGTCTTATAAAATCCACAAGAACCCTATCAGAATAAGTGGTTGAGGTTGTCAGAATTACGTGGATTTGTGGACCACCCAGGTTAATAAATTTATAGAATTCTAATTCCTTATATTCGTATAAATGGAAAATGATTAGAGGCATTTTTCTATACTACGTAGTTCCAGATTTGTGTGGCTTTTTATGTTGCAGACAAACGACTAGCTGTCCTGATCTAGATGTCACATGGGGTTTGTTTTAGATCCATCTGTTATCTCTCTTCCCATCACATTTGTGTGTTCGTACATGGGAAATCTGGAATCTGACCGGAATTAGAAGCAAACCCAGAAGAAGAGGGTGAAAATGAGGTTGAGATGTCTTGTATGTTTTGAACCATTTTAGGAGTATTGACCAGAGTGTGTGTAGCCGTAAGGCGGGTTTGGCAAACCCATCTTCATCTCGCGGTTTTCGAATACTCGTGGGATATCCCTGTCTCGCAACCTTCTTTGCATGTATGATCTAATACCTATCTGTGTGCACTCTTGGTTTGGTACCATCATTTACTGCTACTACAAAATGTGGGGTTGGGTTTGGTTTGGTTTGCTGATCTGGCTGCTCATCTTTCTTTCCTTGTATGACCAGGACAAGTGGAAAACACTGGTGCACACGGCAAGAATATCCCCACAACAAAGGAGGGGAGAGCCAGTACCCCAAGAACTGCTGGACAGGGTTCTAACTGCTCATGCCTATTGGTCCCACCAACAAGCCAACCAACAACAGCTCAATCAGCAGCAACTCTCAGACTCTTGTACTTTTCCTGCTCCTCTGGTAGCTATACCTTAAAGAAGGTGGATTTGCTGAAGACCCCAATTTAGGTTAATTGCTGGTTTGTAAGAGATGTCTAGTTGTTAGTTGAATTTGTATTTTTGCTGTTACTATGATGTACAGAAACGAGGCTACAGGCAAGGGATAGCAGTTGTGGAGTTGGGGGTATTTGGTAATGTAGTATTCGATATTTGCAGTAATTTTTCATGGTTGATTCTTTCCCTTGATGGACCTGGTACTGGATGACGTGAGAATAAGAGCCTTTGGCTAACACTAGGCTGTGCTTCTTCCATCCTTTCTTGGTTCCGTTTGCACTTTTGGTCCAATTCGGATATGGCACTCAGCCTTTTCCGTGAGTATATACTCAAATAGATGAGATTGAGCTACATAAGCAAAAAAAGAGACCTTAGCTGGAGAAATTGGGGAAGAGCATGGGGAGGAGATTTTTACACCTATAATCAGTTTTCCACACGTGTGGATATCACACCATATCTGAAGCTAGTATGTACATGAAAATTGCTAGTATGTACATGAAAATTGTTTTCAAAACAAATTGACAAAGAAGTATAGACCACTGGCAAAAATTCTGAAGTCGTCCAGGACAAAATAGTTAAACACCATACAACGCGTAGCTCTGCTCGCACCTATGTAGATAACTACTGTTGTACCTAATGATCTACTTACACATTACATAAACAGACAGAGCAAAAGAATGAAAGAGGCTAAGCTCATAGGCTGAGTCAGGGATGGCAACAAAACCCAAATCCACGGGTACCCACCCGACCCAACCCGGTCAACGCGGGTAAAATCCGTGTTGACGGGTTTTGGGTCGGGTTTGGGTTTAAACCCGTTCACTATGCACCGGGTTGGGTTGGGTTTGGGTTTAGGTAAACCCGACCCATGGGTACCCGCCCACACCCATATAGTTAATTTTCTCGGTATATCTAATATTCTAAACAACTAATCTTATTTATGTTTGTGGAGACATGTATAATTTTTTCTTTCTAATTGTGTAGAATGAAGTTGATGTCATCGAGTGGAGAGTGAAGAAACTTAATTGAAAGGAAGAAGCTTTCAATTAATCATGTTATTTATGGATAATTTGTGATTTGCTACAATTTTATTGAGTTTTCTAGATTGGTGTTGAACAATTTGTATAGTTAATTTGTGATTTGCTTGAATTTTCTAGAATGGTGTTTTAAATATGGATAATTCTCATTAAGAGATTGATATTTGACTTTAATTTTGATAGGAACTTGTTATTGTAAATTGTTTACGTCAAAAACCCGTGGGTACCCATGAACCCACGGATACCCAGCGGGTTGGGTTGGGTTGGGTTTGAGTTTTTCAAACCCAGTGGGTTTTACCCTGGGTTTTTTTCACAAATAAACCCTTGGGTTTGGGTTTGGGTTTGGCAAAACCCGACCCAACCCGACCGATTGCCATCCCTAGCTGAGTGAGATAATCATCACATAGTGAGTTCATAACAAAGCATACACGACCCTATTATAAATCTGTCAGCTCAAGGCAAAACACTAAGACAGACCTCAACCATCCAGACATCCCATTAGGCAAAAGACTCAACCACCTTGACTTATGCATATGTGCTGTAAACCAGGAGTCGTATAATTGCACTTCATTGGGTAAACCTTCGTGCAAGTCATCCTCCTTAACATCATCATGTCACCTTAGGAAGTATTTTTCCCACTTATGAATTCAAATACAATGCAAAATCATATCCAACACCTCAAGCAATCATAAAAGCATATCCAAAATTAATCCCACAAATGACACATATATACAATCATTGACATAAACATAATCCATAAGGATTAAGACATGCAAATAATATCATATAACACAAAAGTTCATACACCTCTAATCATGTCATTCTAGTTCACCTAAATCAATTCTAGGCATAAGCATAATTATCATGATACGACAATTCACCTAAATCAATTCTAAACATAAGCATAATTATCATGATACGACAACCCAGTAGGTGATTTCCGAGTATTTCACCTACCGAGTATTTTTGGAGAGGGTGAGAGACTCCGAGAGCTTTGAATTTAAGCTTGTTTTTGTCGGGATGTCTCTGCCCTTCCGTGTAGTAGAGAATCTTTCAGTCTAAATTGTAGCTCGACACTTTAGTTCTGGTTACAAATGGATGAGAGTCCTAGTTATATTCTCTTATGACTTGAAGTCCACGCAGTCAGCTTTTGGCAACATTCAGGTTGTAGAAGTATATTCACCAGGTTAACATGACGAAAGCTGCAAAGCAGATAGTAACTTCTTAACAAGTTCAATTCAGCAGAGCACTTGAAAGTTGAAATCATTAGAAAGAAGGTTAAACTTGCAAGTACAGGCTCGTGACTAATACATTCAAGAATGCTGACAAAACTGGGATTTCTAACACATCATTGATACAGCCACTTAATAGTTAAACCAGCATTACTCTTCATTTATTTTCAGTCTTTGCTCTCAGAACGGCGAAGTCCAGCTTTTGGTGCTTCTGCCTAAAAGAAGCTTTCTTGCTCTTCTTCCTTGTTGACTGATCTCCACCTTCAACGGCTTTTGCTGATGTATTAAAGTTTTCTGTTTCAGAAACTACATCAGGCTGTTTCCTTTTCTGGTCTCCACTTCCATGAGAATCAGGCATGGCTGTGTCCGAGCATTCTGCACCATCCGGCGACAACCCATTTTCTCTACCAAACGCAGAACAAAAATACAGAGCGTTTTCAAAATCTACTTTGTACACCAAACACAACTAAAATTTAAAGTGAACAACTAAGAAGAGTGATCTAAATGAGTGCTTCCACTACCTAGCAAGTGAAAAAGGAAGAGTGATCGGAAGGAAACAAATCGGACACCAACCTTAGGGATGCCTTTGCTTTTGTGTGACCACCAGATGACGATGCTGGTTCTGGAGAAGCAAGGTTCGCTGTTTCTTCATTTAGTTTCTATCAAGACAACAATGTTCGAAATGTGAGAGTGGCATAAGAACCCTAGAGAAGGGCACGCCAATTTTTTTATTAAGTGGCGGATGAAAGATTTAGAGGCCTCACAGACCCTTTACACTCACATCGACAGAAGGATTGAAACTACCAAATGACAACCGGCCTATAGCTGCAGTAGGGTGGGGATCACCTTCCATTATTACCACACTGTATATGAATAACAGGCAAATACCAGAAATATGCGTCAGACCCTCTCAATGTAGAGAATATATGAGATCAACGCAGAAGACATTGCAGCAGTTACAAGTAGAAACACAATCCTAAACCGCCACAGATCCTAAACAAACCCCTCGAAACTTCCACCCCCATGTTGTCTCGTACCATTGGATGAGATGCACAAGAATAAAACTTAAATTCAATAGTTAACCTCCAGATGCCTGAACTGCTGGAATGTAGGAATGCACTCATCTTTCCTCGGACCATAGGGCTGCGGTACTAACGAAAGACAGTTCTCAAGGACCAAACTTGGAGATGGTGGCAGACTTTTGTACAAAATCAACAAAACAAAAACAAAAAAAAAACAATCGCTTCTCTATTCTGAAAGTATAACCAACTAGAATATGCTCCGGAGACATACCATTTTCTAATACCTCCCGGTGAGCGGAAATTCCCATCTGGTTGAACCTCTTCTTGTTTTTGGGGTTTCACTTCTTTAAGGGCTCCCCTTTGCATGAACTATTGCGGAAAACAGAAACGAGCAAGAAATTCAGACAAGGAAGTGAACGAGCAATCAACAAGGTGAAGAACCCAGCTTCTATAACCACGCAAATCCAAGCAAAACCCAAAAATTCAAAGCCCTATTTCTCACCTTCAAGTTCTTGAGAGTGCTAGATATCTCGCGCTTCGCCATCTCCGTGCCCTATTCGAAACGAAAACCGACCGAATCGCTAAAGTTCCTCGCTTAACCTCCTTACTTCGTCGACCGCTGCTTCCCGGCAGCGACTTTTTGGGGAAAAGTTAATCTGCTAACTTGAAAATTCGTTAGCAAATACTAACTGATATCCAAAATACATGAACTAGTATCCAAGTACTAAAGTATCTAGAGATCACATACTAGTATTCAAAGTTTGCTAACTGATATCAACCACGAATCAACTATTATCTCAAATTCACAAACAAATATCTAGACAACACAGAATAGTATCCATACAACACATAATTAGTATCCACATAACACATAAAAGTATCCAAATAACACATAAGAGTATCAATATTGAATACTAGTTGGTTGATTGTGGATATTAGTTGGTATCTGCTATCTGAATACTAGTTTGTGATGTTTTGAATACTAGTCTGTGCTATCTAGATACTCAGCAAACTTGGATACATGTTCATACATTTTGGATATTAGTTAGTATATACTAACAACTTATGCAGTTAGCAGAATAACTAGGCTGACTTTTTGGGGCTGCTGCTGTCGTCCTTGCCACCCCACTTGGGAAAAATTGGGGAATTGAAACGGAGGAGACGCTCTCAGTCAAAATTAGGGCTCCAAATCTGCAGATTAAAATCCGGTTCGGCAAGGGATTGGGGAAGTGACTTTGTCATTTCTATTAATCAAGCCCAATACACACTAAAGCCTTTTTCCACGAGCCGAAAGCCCAATCGAAGAATCCGGGAGAAAAATCGGACGGCTGTAAATGAATCTCATCTTTCGTCAGATACACAGTTTCATATGGACACGGTCACAGCAAGATTAGAATCCCTTAACCTATAAAACAAACGAAGAAAGAAGCAATCGAGCGCTCTTCTTCTTCCTCACTCGACCGACTGTGCTAGTAGTCGACCTCGGACCGATCGATCCAATTGTAGCTTGATTTCCGATCGAATTTTTTCTGGGTTTTGCTTCTTTTTTTTGTGTCGGAGCGATCTGACTCTGGTTTCTTCAGGGATTTGTTGATGCTTTTCTAATACACAGTTTGCTAGACAGAGATGGTACGGCGATAACTCAATGTATTCATGTTTGTTTCGCCAGAATCGTACATGGAACAATTTCATTGTGAATTGTGGTTCATGGGTCCTTCGATTTAATGTATCAGCAGTTCTTGAGCAGCATAATTTCATATTTGAGTTGCTGAAGGGTTGCAAAGAAGTACTGCTCGATTGATTTCTCTTGTTGCTTTTCCTCGTTGTTTGGACAAATGCAGGATCGCCAAGACCCTTCAAGTTCAACATTTGAACAGTTCTACCGCTGTTACCCTGTCGCTTTCCTGGATAAGGTTGGGGAAAGTTGTTTATAGTACTAAAATGACTAGAGGAGTATTTTTAACGCTACAATCGCTTGTCTTTCTAGTCTGCAAGACTGCAACTTTGTCTCATATCGTTTCTAACGTTTTGCAGCCGCATCTGGAGAAAGGAAACAAAGGTTTGGTGATCTGCTAGTTTCAAGTTCTATGAGTATCGGGGCATGGCTATCTCAGCTGCGTGTCTGGTTACGTCGTGCAATTCAGATAGCCTTTTATATGTGTAATGTGTTTGTTGTTTCTTTTGGCTGCAGTTATCATGCCACCCTCAGCTCTTGAACGACTGGGTAAGTAGATCATATAATCAGATTTTGCTTTTCTATGATTTTGTTACTACTATGAGCTGATTTCTTTTGGGTTTGCCAGCATCCCTTCATATTGACTACCCAATGCTCTTTGAGCTCCATAACCCTTCTATTGAACGAGTCACACATTGTGGAGTTCTCGAATTTGTTGCAGAAGAGGGTTTGATCTACTTGCCATATTGGGTACACTTCTTTCTTATCTAATGCATAATATGACTGTCCCCTCAAATTGCTACTTACGGATTTAATTCACAGATGATGGAGAACCTCCTCCTGCAAGAGGGAGATCTTGTGCAGCTGAGAAATGCCAGCCTGGAAAAGGGAACTTATGTCAAACTGCAGCCACACTCCACGGACTTCTTAGATGTTTCCAACCCCAAAGCAATGTTAGTGATTTCAGCTGTTTGCAACATAAGGATCCTTTTAAGTTTTTACTACATTGCATATATTTTTGGTTTCCTTCACTCAGCTTCATCTTGTTAACTCTGCAGTTTGGAGACCTCCTTGAGGAATTACTCTTGTTTGACGACTGGTGATACCATCTTGGTTGCATACAACGACAAGAAGTACTACATCAATATAGTGGAGACAAAACCCTCTGCTGCAGTGAGCGTTGTGGAAACAGATTGTGAAGTAGACTTCGCTCCACCTCTGGATTATAAAGAACCTGAGAAACCTGCTCCTCCTTCAAAGGCCAACAACGCCCCACCTGAAGGTTTTTTCTTCTCTTCTCTATATTTCAACTTTGTGGGCTAGCTATGGTTTCACTACTTATTTAAATCATGAACATTGTAGTTCTAGAGGAGGAGCCACCGTTAAAGAAGTTCAATGCATTTACCGGTTCATCAAGGCGACTTGATGGCAAACAGTTAGCAGAACTAGCTGAATCAACTACAAGTTCTGTTGTCAAACAACCTCAGAGAGAGGGCAAAGAAAACAGCAATGATTCGAAGTCTTCGTTGGCCTCTGCTTCGGTTCAGCAGTCTGGAAAAGTGATCTTTGGTGCCAACCAAAAGCGCCCCCGAGAAAGAGATGAAACCACAAATGTAAGCATTTAGTTATCTTGCCTCTATCTACGGTAAAGCGTTCAAAGATAACTCTCCCATATGAACAGAGCCTTTCTTATTTCATTTTGCTTGCAGATCCCGGCAAAGAAAAGAAGTCAAGAGCCAGAGAAAGGGGAGCAAGAACCAAAGTTCCATGCATTCACTGGGAAGAAATATACACTCAAGGATTAGTATTTGGCGATAGCTTTTAGCCCACAAGAGATGTAGAGCACAGATTCGTCCGTGTAATAGTTGGCTCTTTCATAGTTCATTTTCTCTGTACACAGTTAAGGGTGTGTATACAGATTCGACCAAATCGGCATCTGGACTGAATCGTACCGAACCTAATATAATTTAATCTCATTATTGGATCCAATGAATATTATAAGTACTAAAGAAAAATGGACCGTATTGACATTTAACCGCAATTTCCGTTAGTTTGGACACCATTGCACATTCCTAAAAACAGTTCAGTAAATACATCCGGAGTTCTTCAATCTTAAAGAAGTCTGAAGTAGTTGGCAGAGTTCTTTAATCTTACAGAACAGAAGTCTGAAGTAGTTGGCATTTTCTTGACGTAACTTTTGGAACGAATTTCAGTTGATATATATTATTAATGGCATTAATAGTACTAATCATCATCTTAATAATGATAATAATAGAAGTTTAAATTGTACATAAGAGTCCAAAATGGACTGCAAGCTAAAGCTTCTACGAGCCATTTTACCATAATCCATACAGCTGAAGGTTGACATAAACTGCTAAAGACGAAAGATACAGGTTACTAACAATAATTAGGCGGCACTTCGTAAATGAGGCAGCAGGCTGGTGGATCATTAGCTGGATCCAGATTCCAGACTAAGTACAAACAAAATCCTAGGCCTTCACTTCAGTCTCAATAGCAACTTCTGTGGAGTATCTCATCCCATCTGTTTTATCAGTGGCTGCTGTGTCCCACAGCTCTGGCAGAGCTTCCTTGATATTGTGGATGCTCTCCAGGGCGTAATCCGCACCTTCAGTTCGATTGGAAGTGCCAACCTGAACCAAAATACAAATTAGTATGTCGCCAACCAAACAGATTCCAATGGTATGGCACTATGAGAAATTTTACAATGCTATATAGTATTGGTGCTATAGGATTTTACCTTTATGGTACAACTTAAAATTGTACATTTACGATATGGTACAACTTCATATTGTACCTATACTCTTGGTACAAATTCTTTTATGGTACAACTTGAACTTGTACCTTATGTGATGGTACAACTTTAAGTTGTAAAGTTGTACCATAACATAATGGTACAAATTGCTTTATAGTACAACCTAAACTTATACATTTAATGTTATGGTACAACTTTAAGTTGTACATTAAAGCACCAATACTATATAGCATAGTAGAAGTGCTCATGGCACTATAGCAGAACGTTTCTGTCATTGCTCACCCTCACAGTGTGCAGTCCCATTCTTTTCCCCGTCTGGATGTTACGAAGGCTGTCGTCGAAAAACAACTGCAAGACCGTGAAAACAGGTAACTGCTTAGTTTTGCAGCCAGCTTAAGCAAGAGAATAAAAGCAGCCAAGCAAGAGACGAAAGAAAGTCAACGTTACCGTTCGATTAGGGTTGATGGAAGCAATCTTGAAGACCTCTTCGAAAGCTTCTTCGAAAGGTTTGCAGACAACAGGCGACTTGGGGAGAGATATGCCAGCGTTAGGAGCAGCACTGTACTCATTGATGTCGAAGACTTCAGCTGCTTCTTCGTCTTCCACGGCATCATTCCCTTTGGTGGAATCGTTTAAAGTTTCGAAGCACAGGATCTGTTCAAAGCAGTCCTCCAGTCCCAGCCTGTTCAGTACCTTGTCCGCATGAGCTTTGTCTGCATTGGTGAACACCTGCAAAGCAACAAGCACAAAAGGCATCATCAATCAACCAAACTAGAGAATGGAGAAGGTAGGAATGATGGAGAGAAGTAGGGAAATAGTAGTAGCACATGAAAGCAAACAAAATCTTACCACTTTGCGGATGGGCAAGCTCTGTAAGAGGTTCCTTAGAACTGGGTCTGGCTTCAAGGTATCATAAGGCAATCGTCCATGTACAAAGCTACAACATCAACATTAAGATAATACTCGTCATATGACTCCAGCCTTTCGTTTTATGAGAGAACAACAAACTGGGAAGAAACAAATTGGGGTAATGAGTACCTGTGGAAATCATTGTAATCGAATTTATAGCCAATTGCCTGCAGAATAAGTCAAACAGCAAAAGTGTCTCAACTTGGAATTATTACAATATAAAATTATAACATATGGCACAGCCAATTGAAAATCAATCAATTAAGACAATGCCATTCATACATACCCGGAGGCCAGCTAATGTGGTGCCATAGTATTTATAGAGTGATAGGCACAACTCTTGGACCTTATTTTCCATGATGCCGAGCTTTTCAGTCATGTAATCTAGAGCAAAAAAAAAGTACCATGTCCATCCATTTAGAGTTCTTCTTGGATCGAGTTCACAGACATTAGAACACGAAATGAAGGATATGTTGAATCACCTTGAATATTGTTTGCAACTTTTGGCGCCAGACCAGAACTCAATGGATATAGTGTATCATCCACATCTACACAACACAGATCAAATGTGTTTCACCATTTCAGACCAGGCAAGTAAAATCATCAAACCCAGAAACCCAGAACAGGACGAGCACTAGCAAATGGACTCACCGAATAGGAGACAATCATATTTCTGGCTGAGACCGTTATGCTGCTGATCACCATCTCCGTACTCCATTTCGTTTCTTCTTCAGGATAGGAACAAAACAACTACTGCAAGAACAAATCAAGCGAAACATAATAGGGGTCATTACATAAAACATCCGTAATCTAATCTGCATTCCCATTCCAAACCGACCCAGCAAAGCAAATCAACTGGAAGGCAAGACGGAGATGTAATCAATCCAAAATCATATTAGAGGACCTCCGGAAGCAAAGTATTACCAGAAAATGCAATCAAAAGAGAGAAGAGAAAATGGGCAACTTTAACTCTTTAACAGTGGGGGAGAGGAGAGAGATATTAGAAATGGAAGAGGAAATGTGGGGTGTTCTCGATTGAGTTTATAACACACCAAATTTTTGGAAGAAGGAAAACGCAATTTCTGGAATTGGATCAAACAAAGGGAAAGACGTAGGTTCTAAGGCAGAGCATTGAGAGGGGAAAGAGAAGAATCCCCCCCTAAAGATTCAAACTTTGACATATCCCTTGGCAGACGCAAATCGGGAATGGCGAACCCATTGGCACTCTATACCATTATTAGGGAAAGCGGAGGGGTAAGAGAAAACGGCGAAGCGCCGGGAGAGACGAAGCATTCTTCAACAGAACACAAGCACGAAAGAAAGGCAGGAAGTTTGGGAAATGCGAAAATGAAGCAAGAAAACAACAACAATCAAACTACATTACCGGAAATCAATGGAGGCGGAGATTTGAACGAAGCGGATGGAACAGAGACAGAGAGAAGCTAATGGAAATGGCAGAGAGAAGCCGCAACGTACAAGGATCGAACAATGGGAATATAGTGTGGGATTTGGGAGGGTCTTAAATAGAGGGGAAAGGAGGAGAGAGAGAGTGATAGTTTTTATTTTTCTTTATTTTTTGTATGATGATCGAAAAGGAAAGGAGTGGAGGTGGGCAGTTGAATGGAAATCAAATTTTTTTTTCTTTTAATCTGGGAGGAATTTATTGTCAACTGCCTGTCAGTTTCAGTCGACGCCGAGCCTCTTTCCTTTTTAAAGAAAGAAATATAGTTTCCCTTGCAATGCAATAATTTTGGTCAGCATTTTAGTACTTGAGATATTTATTTTCACATTTGAATCCAGAAACATCTATTTTCTTTTTTATAAACTCCATAAACATTTGTTAGGTACATTTCAATGTTGGATTCCAGCTCTATGTCCTTGAGGCTCTTTTTATTTCTTCTTGGTGAGAATGCGGAGCGCTTAAAATGCATCCCAACCTTTCTTCAGTAACCAAATGAGTTGTTTGAATCCCAATAACGTCATGGTACAACCAACAAAACAACACATTATCATGTGCAACAATAGAATGGAAACCGACAAAAAACGAGTGGCCTAGGTTGGCTAAGTAATCTGCGACAATGTTTGCCTCCCAATAAACATGCACAATGTCAACCTGTCAATCTCGTGAGAGCCAGCGTCAAATCTCAGCGACAGTTTTGTAGTGAAGATGAAGGTGAGGGGCCGACTCGATAAAAGATATGTTCATAATCGATTCATTTTGCAGAAGAACCTCTCCAACTCTAGCCTCCCAAGTGAGTTTCGATCCATGCAAATTTCAGTTAACTCTGCACTAGTAATTGAATCCCCCCCCCCCCAAGGTTCAACGTGAAAGTTATTATGAAGCTGCCATCGTCTCGATACCGCCAACCACAATATTGGAAGGAGGATGGGTCACTGATTCGTTCGTGTTCAGCCAGGTCCAGCCTGGGTGAGGTGGCTGCCAATTGATAAAATGCGATCTTCGGAGTCACCTGGATCCGATGACCTGGTTCTCCTTTCCCTAAGGTAATGATTTGTTGACGCAATTATGCAGAGTTAAAACGGGATTTGAGTATAATACTGCAATTCACCCTGAAAACAGTAGCTATTCTGGTTCTTCCATAGAAGCCAACAAGTAGCAGCAGCAAAGAAGGGTACTATCAATAGCTCGACTACTCCTAGTAATGTAGTGCACCATCCAGTCTTCGAAGTTGAGTCCCAAAAAGTCACCATCTGATTCTTCCAATAGGAAAGCGGCCCAAGTTGCTCTGGCAAATGGGCAGTACGCCAGTACCGGAGCACATGCAGTGTTGTCTCTAATGCGCCTCCACAAATTTTGCAATACAGGCAATAGATTATGATGGAGTTTGAGAAGGAGTGACTCGACTCTAACTACATATTTCCCAATTGATCGCCAAACTTAACCAACGACTGGGTGCAAAATTGGGCAAGTGTTTAATTATCAATATGAGACGGTCTATTTACCCCTACTTCAGTCGTTTATATATTATATAGCAAACGGTTTGTGATGGAATCTAAGAAACTACAGTTGGAAACAAGCAAGCAAAGTAAATAGGAGAGCCCTCAAACTCCATTCCCAAACAAATTTGGTCATTGTCCGAACCTCGGGATTTTCTCCCCATCGAACATCGACTTACCTGGTCTCTTAATGTCCTCGATGACAAACAAAAGTGCACAATGATCCGATAAATGATGAATCATGGATCCTGGTAATTTTAATACCTATTTTTCTAAGACAAACGCTATGTCCAACCTCTTGAACCACACGGCACAGATCCCGCTTGTTAGTCCAGGTAAAAGTCGGCCCCTTAAAAGGAAGCTCATGTTGTCCCAAATCATCAACATATCCCCGAAGATTAGCAAAATGACTTGGACGCCATGGAAGGCGACCTTCCTTCTCCTAAGATGGTATTAAAGTCCCCAACTATCATGAAGGGAACCCTTAAGTGGGCACACAAATTGGCAATTCGTTGAAGTTGTAACGTCTTAGTAGTACAATTACACCTCAAGTAAACGAAAATCACCACATAATCCAATCGATCTTTATTCAAATTCAAAGCCACAAAAAAGGAATTACTACATTAAAATGAGATCGTAATCTCAACGGACCAACCTACTGCAAAGCCATCGGCAGAGTGAGCAACATCTACTGAAAAACAAATCTGAATGATGAAAACTTAATTGTCTTTTGGCTAAGATCAAGTGTAGCAAGTAAACCATAGATTAAATCCTATGATAACTAGGGTTGGGGAGGAAGGGGAAAAAAATCCCACCCTCTAAATTATTTATTTAAGTTAGGTTTAAAATAATTCAAAAATTCCCTAAGTATTCTTAACTAACCAACAACCACTAATATCCTTTAAGTAATTACTAACTACTTAAGATTAACTAACAATCAACAGTCACTTAAATAACTTCTTAAATTTAGTGATTTAATGATGCGAACTCATTCTCAAGACAAAGAAGAAATATCTTGGAATCACAATTTATGGGGATATGATTCAATGAAATAAAAGCACATACTAATATTTAAAAAAATTATATTCTATGTTCCTTTTTCAAATCCTTCATTTTACTAAAATTATATTTTAGTTGCTGTATATATATGTTGTGTAGAATTATTAAATGGTACCTATAATTATCATTTTTCTCATTAAATCATTGAATTATTACTTTATGTGTGTTCTACTATGATATTATATTGTTTATAATGTGCCGGTTCTCAAACGGTTTTTAAACGGTCTAATACCGGTTGGACCACTAATGACCGAGCCGTTCACGTTACCGGGTCATACTCTGGCTCGGCTTTGACAGCATTGGGTTTAACTATGTGAACTCATTCTCAAGACAAAGAAGAAATATCTTGGAATCACAATTTATGGGGACGTGATTCAATGAAATAAAAGTACATACTGATATTTAAAAAAATATTATATTTTATGTTCCTTTTTCAAATCCTTCATTTTTTTTTTAACAAACAAGGATCAATTCCCTCCTTTTGAGGACTAAAACATCAATCAATACTCAATAGTTTAATTTAGAGGATTGAAATTGGTTGAAATATAGATGGAGAAAATGATATCTATTCAATGGGACAGCCGACGCGTTTCCACATATCCCACCGTCCACATCATGCTCGTCCTGCTGCCGCCACGTGCTGGGCACATCACAGATGAGTTTACTCTTCTTTCCTACTCTTTAATTATGGGCTAACGACCTTATTTGCAGTAGGGGCCCAGCCCAATCCAACCTCCCGTGCCCATGCCTAGTTACGACTCTTCATCATAATTTATATACTTGGTCCACATTGTCTCAATTTTTCGTTGAATTTTCTATTTGAGGAAGTGTTTGACTAGACATTTACTAGACCAATACTAGACAGTATTAGACACCTTTGTAGTTTTTGCCCTCCTCTTTCCTAGCTTTTGGTCATCTCAAATTCTCTCTCGTTGAATTTTCTATTCTATTTGAGGGAGTCTTGAGACTCTTGACTATACATTTACTAGACGAACACTAGACACCTTAGTAGTTTTTGCCCTCCTCTTTCCTAGCTTTTGGTGCCTCTCATGTTGATCAATTCACTCTCTTTCTCTCAACCAATTTTTGAGCTGCTGAACACCCACAACTTGCACACAGTTATGTCAGCCAAGTGTCTAAGGAACCAATCGAATTTATGTATTGTCTCGTCCTCATAAACCTTCAAGATCAATTCATTCTCTTCTCTCAATAGATACAACACAAAATAAAGATTACGACGCTCGTGAAATTCAATCACCGTTTCCGGCGAATTCATTCGATCTACCCTCAACATCTGACGAGTTGGCATCCGAAAAAATTCATAATCCATCACCTCATGCCCAGACAACAAGCAATGGTACTTCGTTCTCATAAATAGTTCTCCTTTGCGCCAACACGAAATGCATTCCTCGCAAAGACAAACCGCATGAAAACAACCATCCATAAATTATTGCGCAACTAATCAAATTTTACAACGTCTCTGGGGAGAGGGAGTAAGAGGGGCTATGCAAAGAGACGGCTCAATGCAGTAATCCAATCAGTCGAGATGTACAAACAGAAACACCAAGAGTGACGTTCAGAGGTTCAGGCAGGTACCACCTCTATTGGTGGCGATTCGTCTTCCTCCTCCACACTCGTCGTGCTGTTCTCGCCCTGCTTTTCTTCATGTTTAAAACCTTCCTTGAATTTATCATAGTTTGTAGCTTCGAGTGCCTTGAATGGTCTCTCCCCCAGGACCCGGACCAAGTCCTCCTGGTGGAGAACTTCCTTGTCCAGCAACAATTCAGCAATCTCAGCAACCTTCTCCTTGTGCTCTTCTACAATTTGCAATGTGCGTTCATATGCTTTGCCCACCCATTCTCGTACTTCCCCGTCGATAATGGCCCCCGTCTTGCTGCTGTACGGCTTGCTCATCTCAAATGATTCCTCTCTTTGTGGGAAAGACAGAAGTCCCACCTTGTCGCTGAAACCATACACCGCTACTTGGGCGTACGTCATTTTTGTCACCTTCTCCAAGTCATTTTGGGCTCCTGTTGAGATTTTCCCCAACAATACCTACATAACAGGTAAAGTTAAGAATTCAGGTTTGGCCTTCAAGCAATGCAACAAAAGATAAGACTTCATGTTTGATTTGGCTTAAGATAAGCAACTTTTTTTTTTTTTACTTGAAAGCTAAAATAAACAACTAGTCATTTCCCATAGCCACCTCATTGCTCTAATTAGAATTGACTATTTTCCCATCATCATATTCCATTTAATTGATTTTCTCATCAACCCAACCAGGCACACATTTCTACTAGATGGTTCTGCTAAGAGTAACAAACACACCCATATCGTATCCCACCTTCATCTGTTCCACACGTTCTTCAAAGATGACTGCCCTTTCTAATTGGAATATGAAACAAGATAATAAAAGAACATGGCAAGCGCTTCAAAATTGATTTTCCTCCCTATCAATTATAGTTTCCACCAACGATCCTAGTAATCTCACTTCCGCTAAGTTTCAAGAAACAGATCTCGCTTCTGCCCATACTGATAAAAGATACGGATGAGATCGCAAGTTACCTGTTCTGCTGCTCGACCACCAAGGGTCATACAAGTTATATCGAAAAGTTGCTCCTTGGTCATCAGAAGGTTCTCATTAGGAACATACTGAGCAAACCCAAGCGCAGCTGTACCACGAGGAACAATCGTCACTTTCAAGAGTGGCTCTGCATGCTCCAAAAACCAGCCGGTTACAGCATGACCTGACTCATGGTAGGCAACAGTCCGTCGTTCCAGCTTGCTTATTACCTGATTGCCGAAAACGAGAAATAAATATAAGTTCTAATGCTCCTTCCAAAAAGAAGAGAAGAGTGCACATCATGAAACAATTTGATCAACAAATTCAGGGAAATCCAAAGCACATAATTTATGATTACCCTGTTCTTCTTCTCCAAACCACCAATTACTCTGTCTATTGCAGACTCAAAGTGTTCCATATTGATTACTGTTTGTTCCTTCCTTGCAGCAATTAGAGCAGCTTCATTACAAACATTTGCAATATCTGCTCCAGCAAATCCAGGAGTGAGGGCAGCAAGCCTTTCAGAGTAAAATGACGGTTCTTGATCAAGCTTCAGTTTCTTCAAATAGATCTGGAATATTTGTTCACGGCCTTTTATATCTGGCTTGTCAATGGAAATTTGCCGGTCAAATCTTCCAGGCCTCAGAAGAGCTTTGTCTAGTATATCCGGTCTGTTAGTGCCAGCAAGCACAACCACTCCAGCAGTAGTAGCAAAGCCATCCATTTCTACCAGCAATTGATTGAGGGTACTTTCCCTTTCATCATTGCCACCACTGAAGCCACCACGTCCCCTTGCTCTGCCAATCGCATCGATTTCATCAATGAATACGATACTTGGAGCACACTGTCTCGCTTCTTGAAACAAATTCCTCACTCTAGATGGACCAACACCAACAAACATCTCCATGAAATCGGAGCCAGAAATGGACAAAAATGGCACCCCAGATTCCCCAGCAGTTGCCTTGGCTAGAAGAGTCTTCCCAGTCCCCGGAGGACCAACTAGAAGCGCACCTTTTGGAATCTTTGCTCCCAACTCCTCATACTTTTTAGGATTCTGAAGGAAATGCACAAATTCCATAATTTCTTGCTTTGCCTCATCACAGCCAGCAACATCTTTAAAATAGACCTGGAATAGCTCAATATGTCAAAATAAAACAAAAAGAAAAAAAGATGTGCGAAGAGTAAGTAGACAGCTCGAGTGAATAATAGTCATCAAACATCTTCGTTCTCAGTGTTCTTTTAGATGGAAAAGAACAAAGTGGTTACTGTTAACCAATGAAAAGTAACATACCTTATTCTTAGCATTTTTATCCACTTTGGTGATGTGAGCTTTCCCTATGTTGAATATACCACGTGCACCTTTTCCACCACCACCCCCAAGGCCTATCCCACCTTGCATTCGCCTTCCCATGTACAAGATGGTTCCCAATAGCAATAACGTCGGAGCAAACCTCAACACTTCTTGGAACCAAGCAACCTCCGAGGAATATGTAACAGGTACATAGTCGTGAGGGTCTATCCCCAAGGCCTCCTGTGCTTCCTCCAGCTTCTCCTCAAATGCATCCACACTTCCAATATTGAAATAGTATTTATATTGTCCTCCACGTCCTCTAATAGGAGTGGCAGTCGTAGAACCTTGGACATCTTCACCACCTGTCTGGTTTGATGGTGCACTCTTCACATAAACTTTTGCAACTGATTTGTTGGAAACAACTACATGATCCACCAAACCAGGCTCGAGAAGCTTGTTTTTGAACTCTTGGAAACTGATCTGTTGACAGAATGGCAGAGAAAATTAGTGCGACAGTAGTGGGAATTGACACTTGAGAACAAATGTTTCCAGGCAACAGTGCAGAAAAAATAAAGGCTGATATACACACCTGTTGGTGCTCATTCGAGCCAAAAGGAAAAGAAGAAAGAAGCACCCCAATGACTAACAAAGGGGTCAGTAAGTTGTTGAACTGTTTCGTAAACATCTTCTGAAAGCTCGATTCATCATCAGCATTTGAATTCTCTGGAAAAGGAAAGCGAAAACATGTGATCAGCAAGCAAGCAAATCGAACTGCTTATTTCTTTTGATAAAAATGCATCAATATCATATGATAGATAGAGATGTAAATTCAAAATAATATGCAGCTATTCTGCTGAACTCATGTTATAATGAAACTTAACTCTAAACTTGACAAGCAACCTCTTAACATTTCCAGCACACACTGATCCCTAGAAAGATATTGCAACTAAATACTGGCTGTCCAAGTTAGGAAGCGGGGTTAAGCTGAGAAAAGATGCATCACCTTTGGACTCAGATTTCTTCCCATCTCCCTTCGGTTCTTTCTTCTTTCCTTTGGGATAGAAGTTCTCATAACCTGCAAGCAACACATGAGGTTAAGCATCAGTTAGATACCATTCCACGAAACTCCGGGTTCTGCAGCTCAGCCAAGTCCAACACTTGTGGCTCTTGCAATTAGCATGAATTGATTTAACGGAGCGAAATGAATCCACAAAAGCCTTAAAAAAGACAGCTCTGCCTAGAACAAGGAAAACAAACACCCGCCTGTTTTTTTCCAAGATAAGAAACAAAGTGCATCTACCTCTACTCCAATCTCTCCATATTCGTGTAAAGCGATTCCAACAATGCGAACCCAAAGAGCTACCAATTTTCGTCGTCATCATTATATAAATATAACAGTGATAGAGAGACACGGGAAGAGTAGCTCACTCTTCTTCTTGGGAGCTTCACTCGAGAAAAACCGCCGGAGTCTAGGGTTTGCAAGGATGGCGTTGAGGTTCGAGACGGAAGTTTTGGCAGCAGAGCTCTTGGCAGCCCCAATAGAAGTCAAATAACTCCTCAGAATGCCCACTCCATCGTCTATACGATTGGCAAACGAACCTCCCCGCGGCAGGCCGGTGATGGCTGATCTGCTGTAACCACGGAGCGATATATTCTGCCACTAGAAAGAAACCAAAACCACGAATACGATCAGTAGTTTTAAATGTTACCCTAGACACACGGAGAAAACAACAACCTGATAATCGGATGGAATACCTTAGAGAGATTGGAGCCGCGTGTGGAGCGGCTGAGCTTGGAGAATATCATTGATTGATCAGAAGGATTGAATTGAAGATCAGACGCGTAGCAGAGATAGTTTGAGATCAGGGGAGGAGGACGTAAGTCTGAATTATCTCACTACAGCTTGTTTATGGAGAGGGAAGAAGTAGGCGAATAAACAGGAGAGGAGAAACACGTTGTTGATGTGGAAGAAAGAAAAGAAAACTATGGGGAAGAAGAGGGGGACACGGATATTGGGAGGTTAGGGTTGCATAGATATCATGAACCGAAACTGATTACTTTGGGAAGGGGAAAGAAATTGGTCACTGAATTTGGGCGCAGAAACGTTGATTCGATCCAATCCACATAATATTTGTATGGCTAAATGGCAAGTTTGGTCACTTGAATTATTAGTAAAGTTCACGTTAGTCACTAAAATTATTTTATTACATCCGTAGTGACTTAAATTAGGTTAACAGTTCAAGTTTGGCACTAGAATACCGATATCTTATCAATTTCCACCCCTACTCGTGTCTATAAGAAGGTGCTCACATACTATGAGTGTACATGGGTCGAGTGGTTCGGTTTTTTTTTTTTTTTAATCACCAGATCCATATACTTTGGTTTTGAAAATATTGGAATATGTATGATTTGCCCTTCTACTATGCATTTTTATCAAACATGCCCCTCTACTATTTTTTACATCAAACATGTCATTCTACTAAAATTCTCATCCAAAGACTGTCAACCACTGTCAAACCTTGATTTGGGCATTTCCCTCGTGCATCTATCTCATTCATCCATGAATGACTGCCCATTTCACTCCAAACACACCTAAAATAGATGCATACACATAAAATGTGTTTCTCGTGCAACATATGATGATATTATAAGCAATAACCAAAGTAACACCCAATAGATGATAAAACCACGGACTGATTAAAACATTAGATAACTAAAGCATAGATTGATACAAACATCGAATGAAAAAGGCATCTAATGACAATGACACCGCATTCAATCATAGAACATTGATGCCTGAAGCATCATAGAACATTGATGTCTGAAGCATCATAGAATTCACATCCCTAAACAATACAAGTTTAGTTAGCCATAAGAGATGGAGAAGACATCACCGAAGATGATGAAGGTATCCCCATCCTGCCCTGGCAGAACTTTGACTGATTTTGTATGTGTAAGAATGTCTAACAACTAAAGCATAAGCTCCTATTTATAGTATAAGAAGGAGGAGTAAACTTGGGTATTTCACTCTAAAACTCGGCCTCCATCTTCCATGTACCGCCTGGACTCGCACTCTGTGTCTTAGGAAGAATGTAAGCTTCTTCTAGAAGATTCCTTGGGCTCTGGGCCTGCGGCGGTTAGGGCTATAATAAGTGATAAATTGTATTTGTTTTCATCCTCATTTCTTGATCAATTAGCTTCACTTTTCTTACTCCTTGGTCTATTTTATGCTAGGTAGTGTTCATTTGTCATATTTCGGGTCATAGTAAGTGAAGAAAGGCTCAGGCGCAATGTATGAGTCATTTGGACTGATTTTGTAGAAACACGACCATGTCATGGGGAAAGAAACCTTGTTTTTCATTGAAGAAATATGAACAAGGGAGCAAAGAAACACTAGTCGGGTTTTAGCCCATTTGGTTTGTGTAAGTTGCATCGTAGTTTTGGCAAGGAAACACGGTCAGAGCCAATACAAACATGGTCATACAAATTCATGAAATCTGATCGCGTTTTCCATAAGTCGACCTATGTTACACAATGCATTTTGGGAAAACATGGGCAGAATGAAGAAACACGGCTGTGTATTTTGCCCATGTTTTTGTCAGTTGCAGATTTAAGAGCCATTTCATGGGATTTTGGAAGAGAATCAGTCTTTTGACATCTAAAAACAAGCTTGGAAAGACCTAGAGAGAGAAAATGATGAAGAGAACATTCTTGGAGCAAATTTGGGTCTTCCTTTGACCATTGCAGCTCAATTCCAGTCCCTTGGAGTGAAGATCATCATTGAGAAGTAGATTCCTGACGTTACACGATGATGGCTGCTTATTCCCCCATTTTCCTCTCTTTCTCTATCTCTGGGGAGTAATCCCTTCTCTCACTTGTGTATGAAGAACCCTTGTTCTATGTGTTAGGAATGATTGTTGTTTGATATTTGGTTTGTTAAACTTAATATTATTTATCCAATTGAGGTTTTATTCAGGAAATTGCTTGAGTCTTTATCACACTCCTTCATTTATTGTTTTGACCTAGGAGAGGGAATGCCCTATTAGGTTGATAGAACACCATCAATTGGTGGTAGTGAATCGATTGTCAGATTAGTGAATCTATTCACTATTTTGTTTGACATCGTCCTTGAAGCTATTTTATGCTAGTTTTTGGAATATTTTAGTATGTTTCAGGCCATAGCAGGTGAAATGGGCGAAATGACTGAAAGTCGGACGAAAGGGATCCAAAAAGGAGCAAAATAGTGAAAGTGCACAAATCACGGTTTATGGTGATTATTACGGGCAATAGACCGTGAACATTACAAGAAGGCCCTGAAGTTCGTAGGTTTTCATGAGCTTTCGTTTGTCTCGCAGACAATGTAAGGATCATGGTCCCAAACGGTGAAGTCAGGATGGAAACTGTGAAGTGTGTTAATGAAATGACGAGTTCTGTGTCGAGATCACGATTTTGTTGCAAACTTCAAGGGCGCGACGTGCAACCATGAAACATGCACAATCGAGCTATATAAGGAGGAGATCAGATTTTGAAGAGGATGAGAGTTTAGAGTGAGATTGAGTTTCTTGTTCCTTAACCTATAAAGAAAGGCAGAAAGCTACAAACAAGGGAAAATTGAAGGTGGATTTGACCTATCCAAGCCAAGAGGAGGCCGAATTTCATCTCCAAGAGTCTATCCAAGCAACTAGGAAGAAGAAGAATAAAGTTCCCATGGGTTTTCCTTTATTCTATTAGTTGTTTGATTTAGGGCTAATTACACACATGTTACCCCTCATTTCTTGTTAGTTTGATTTTGCATTTCATCGTCCCTCGACCTATTTTACGTTAGGTTGTGCTATTTTTGATACATTTCAGGTCCTAACATGTGTGGAAGGGTCGATGACGAGTTTCGAGACGATTGGGTTTCACAATTTGTGGGTTCCCTTTTAGGGTTCCAGCTTAAATAACCCTAAAAAGGAGGAAGAATTCTTAGCAAAGCAGATGAGATCGCAACGATGCAACGCCTTTGCCTTACCATAAATGTTGAGAGTCATGAGTTTGATTATTGATTATAATTTCGTTAGATTGGAATTGTTTCCACTATTTTGATTAATAGATAAAAATTGAGATGTTATCTAAACGTCACATTTTGATGATGAATTGCATTTGTTTTAGCTAAATTTCACGAGATTATGAAAAGTGGAATGACCCATAATATTTTTGCGACCTTTTTAAATACATGACAAGTGGGTCGGATCCTGTCCTTAAGACTAAAATTTAAGGAGGTTCTTAAGTTCTTGGCCAATAGGAAGGGAACGAGAAAATTAAGTCTAACCATTTAAAAAGAACAAATATGATATATCAATTAAATATAATTATTTAATAATTAATGAAATTCAAAATGAAAATAGAAATTTAAAAGCCATATTTAATGTTTTTAGAAAATAAATTAAAAATGTCCACGTTCTCCCCTTGAAAACTTGCAATGACATTATTAACGTTTTGGAATGAAATTATCAACGTTTATGAAATGAATTATTATCGATACATTCCATCAATAATAAAAATTTCAACATACTTATCAAAGTTTTATGATTTCATTCTTAACGATTTTAGTTCAATTGTTAATGATTTATACTTTCGTCATCAATGCTTATGAAAGAACTACTAAAGTTATGTCACATCGTCACTAAATGGTTGAATAACATTATCATTGATTTACAACGTATTTATAAAAAAATTCACGTTTTTACGTCATGTTCACAACTAGTCAATCATGGCCTCTTACTATGACTTTCAATGACATTATTCTTGTCTTGTGACCAACTAATATCGCTTTACATTGTCATCCTCTTCAATCATAACACAACGCTTATTTTTAACATCTTTGACACATGTGAGGAATAACACATTTGATTCAGTCAAGCAAACATTAGTTCATGTAGCTACAAAATCAAACCAATATTCACAACCCATCACCAAACCGTTAATAGCAATACAACAAAACATTATAACGAAATTGTATTTCGTTGAAAACAAGCACAAAGTCATTAATAATATTCAAACTAAATGTTAAGTATCCAAAACTTTCAAAACTAAAACAAGAACGATACAACAAATCAATGACAACGAAATTGTATTTCTTTGAAAACAAGAACAAAAATATTAATAATGTCCAAACTCAATGTAAAGTGTCAAATACAGTCCAAAATGTTCATATGAATGTTGTATATCATTTAAAACAAAAACAAAAATGTTAACGATTGTAAACTTCAACATTAAAAATGACATCGGACCATTAATATGGATATTGAAAACCATTAATAACGAATGAACATGTCATTGATCATGAAATTCAATTTCATTGAAAACCAACACAAATCATTAATAATGTTCGGAGTTTATATTAAGTGTCAAATGCTATTAAACTTTCAAAATAATGTTGTATTTCATTCAAAACTAAAAAAATCTAACAATAACAGGCTTCAACATTAAAAAATGGCATCAGGTCGTCAATACTGATATTGAAAACCATTAATGACAATTGAGCAAGTCATTGATCACGAAATTGTATTTCGTACAAAACCAAGACAAAATTCTAAATAATGTTTGGATTCAATGGGAAGTATCAAATACCGTTAATAACATTAACAACAATGTTATATTTCGTTCAAAATGAAAACAAAAATTTGAATAACTTCTCTATCAACCACAATCTTCCTCTTATTGTTGATATGGTGATTATCATGATATTCAATGTCCTGCCCAAACTAGCGTTGTTCTTCTTTTCATCCCGACGTGAATAAGATCTCTAGGCAGTGGCCTTAGGAGAAAGAAATTGGTTGCAAGTAAACCATTGATTATTTTTTTGCCAAAAGTTACTTTGTATTGAACGAGATAAACGTGATACACTAGAGCCAGTAACGAAAATCGAAACCTATTAAACTAAGGATTAATGAAAGGGTTTTCTTGGCCACCATATGGGCCATCCTATTATGAGCACGACCAACAAAACAAACACTAAATTGGTGGAAACATAACCTCAATAACTTGATCTTGCACAAAAATCACCCCACCATGAGCATCTAGACACGAGTCCTCCACT